TATCTTTGGTGAAATAATAATAAATTAATTAATTCATTATTATCAATAATCGAATTAATTAATGGACATTATATCTTAAACATGTGGAGATAATTAGAGTAATTATTATTGGAGTCTCAATTGTAATTTGGGCCAGGAAAAGGGAGTGCAATAATATTATGTTGGTAGCCCATAACATTATTTAATTAATTAGAGTAGTGGGTTTGGCCCATAAGTATTTTTAATAATTAAGGAACCATATTCCTAATCTCCTAAGGGTCCATACTGTAGCTCTATATATACACCATTAGGTGCATGGGAAGAGGAGAGTTGGTACATTATTCCAAACACAAAAATCAACCGCCCTACGCGCCTCTCTCTCTCTCTCTCTCTCTCTCAGTTCCCATTCGAGTTTTATCTTATTCTTGTTGCTGCATTGGTACACGTTAAAGAGGGTTTTTGAGATATACAGTAGAAGATCCTGTGGTAATTGAGATACATATATTTATCGACCCCGAATATCACCCAGCGACGAGCCAGACTCGCCGGACCGCCGACCCGACGAGCCCAACCCGTTGCGAACCAGCCTGACCGAAGCCACGAGCCAGCCGCACGCGCCAATCAGAGTAGTCGCGATGCACGCCTCGCGACTCGCACGCGCCGCCCGCGACCACCGATCCGACCCGGCCGATCCGACCTACTCAACCCACTCGACCCACACAGCCCGATAGCGAGTTCGACGTTCCGTTCGTGATCCATTCATGTTCGTGTGTTCATCCCGGTCAATCCGTTTGAAGATCAATCAGATCGTCATAAATTAGAAGCCGTAAGTTTTCTACGCCAAACCTTTAGTTCCGTTGTGCATAGGTTTACGTTTGCTATTGAGTTTGTGATTTGTACATAACGAGATCCTCACAGATCCCAACAGTCACCACATTTGAGCTCTGTTTGATTGCGTAGGTTGGTTGTTGTGGATGGGCGAGGTCAGTTTCTCATCTAGTTTGAACCGAGTTCATCCTTCTTTGAATTTGCTTCAGATTAGTGGTTGTTTATTTTTTAATTTAATGGCTTGCCAGGTTGGTTGTCAACAGAGCAGTGGCTTCAAATCAGCTAATGCACAAAAGATGAACTCTCTCAAGCAGCTGGAAGTAATGGTGAAAGTTAGGGGCTTCAGAGATTGAAACCTTTAGGATACTTTGCAAAAAGAGCTAAGTGAGACCTATAAATTTGAACAGAAGTTCTGGGAACAAAAGTCAAAAGTAACTTGCTTAATCTTGGGGATAAAAACTTAAAGTACTTCCATGCCTAAACAATCCAAAGGAGAAAATAAAAACTACATTTATAGGCTTAGAAGAGATGATCTTACAATTTTTGAGAGAAAAGATGCAATTGCCATTTCATAGAGGACTTCTACTCTTATCTCTTTCAGTCAGAGGGTTTGAGGGGGGGGGGGGNNNGGGGTAAAAAGTTGCTGCAAAGAATCTTTCATGTCATTTGTGAAGAACTAACTCTGACCTAGTACCTCAGTGAGGGATGAAGAAATCAGGATAATTCTCATTAATATTATTTCATACGAAGCCCCTGGATCCGATGGTATGCTACCTTTTTTTTTTCAAAAATTTTGGCTTATCATTCAAAAAGATTTATGTACTATTTTTAAAAGCTTTTTCGAGTCAGGTGAACTTTAAAAAACTTAATCACACTCTAGTCACTCTAATACCAAAGATTCCTCAACCTGATTTGGTTTCTCACGATTGAAATATTAGTCTCTATGGAGTTGCTTATAAAGTTATATCCAACATTGAGAGACTAAAGAGTGTCTTCCTTTGTGTATTGATGAGAACCAGACTGCCTTTGTCCCTGACAGACAGATCTTAAACAATGTTATAATAGCCCATGGAGTATAATTGTGTGAGTCAAATCATGCTTAAACTAGGTTTTCATGCATCATTTGTGAATCTGATCATGTCTTGCATTTCTTCTGCTTCTTTTTTCATTTAATGTAAGGGTAAGACTTGTGGATGTGTTACACCTTTAAGGGGTATCATACCTAAGGACCCACTGTCCCACTATATATTCATCCTAGTCTCATAAATTCTCTCTCATCCGATTAAGATGGAAACCCAAAAAGGTCATCTCCAGGGTCTAAAAAAAAATTACCCTCACTCACCTCTTCTTTGCAGATGTCACCATCATTTTTGCTAAAGCTGATCCCAGCCAAGCTCACACCCAAATAAATATCCTCCAAAATTACCAAAAGCTCACAGACAAGAAAGTGAATTTAAGTAAATCATCCATATTCTTCAACAAGAACCCATTCCTCTCCCCTCTCAATGCAATCTTCCATCTTCAATACTCTCATGAGAATAACCCCACAAATTTCGTCTAGTTACCTCGACTTATCCTTAGGAATTGGTAAATCCAAAGTTAAAATGTCAACTCTAAACCATCCGCGGGTGTTCACACGTAGCCAATCCAACTTGGCTAGGTTTCAGGGTCAGGGCTTCAGATTGCATTTCCCTTTCGCCGACATTCTCTTATGTTAAAAAATCAGTTGAAGAAAATATTGAACTGGAAAAACATATTTTTTTTTTCTTTTGCAGGAAAAGAAGTGTTGTTGAAAGCAGTCCTTGGAGCTTTCTCCATATGTGCAATGCCTTACGTTTTAATCCAAATGTAGTTAGTAACATGATCTCTCAACTAGTTCCAAACTTTTGGTGGAACAATAGAAACCAGGAAAAAAAAAAATCTTGCACTGGAGATCATGGAACCTGCTTACTCTACCAAAGGACAATGGGGATCTAAACTTTCATGATATCCACCTCATGAATAAAGCACTTATAACCAAGCAGATGCAGATAATCATCACAAAACCCAATCTCTTAGTTAGCAAAATTCTTAAAGCTAAGTACTTCCTTGATGGTAACTTCTTCCCTGCTAAGCAAAAGTAAAATGGATCATGGATGTAGAATAGTTGGCTGAAAGTTAGAAACTCATTCAAAGGAGGATTGATATTTGACATTTAAAATGGAAAATCAGTCAAATTATGGGGCAACCCTTGTATTCCCAGAATGCCAAGCTTCAAACCTACTCCCAAACACCAAATGAACAAAGGTATGATTTGGTAAATGGACCTCATTGATGAATCAGGTAGGTAGTGGAACATAGCCCTAGTGAAGGAGTGCTTTACATATCAAGACAAAAAGCCATCTTAAGTATCAAAATCCTTGACCCCTAGGCAGAAGATAAACTTATTTGGGAATGTGGGAAGAGTGAGAACTACTCAGTGGCTGCAACTTATGCTAAGATGGTTGGGGATAAATGGAAAATTCTAGACATTGCAAAATCTAGAAAAGATTAGAAGGAAGCCAAGCTTGTGAGCAGAAGAAGCTGGAAGCTCAAAATAAAGGGTAAAATTCAACATTTCCCGTGGCAATGAATGCTGAACATCATTCCTGTTAACTGCAACATCATAAAGAAGAGAATGGACATTGCCCAAACTTGCAAGGCCTGTGGATTGTCCCCATAAATTATTGATCACATCTTCTTTCACTGTATCAGAGCAAAAAATTATGGGAGTTAGCTCCTATCACTTGGGATGGGTTGGAGGTTGAAACAAATAACTTCAAGAATTAGTGGTCTAGGATTTGATACCTCAACATCACATCCATCTCAGAAGACAAAATTCAATGAACCTCTTACTTCTTGTGGTGGATATGGAAAGTAAGAAATCTTCGTGTGTTTCCAAAGCACATGGAGAAGAGAAATTTCTATTGTTAATATGACATCTTCAAATTAATTAGAATTCTGAAACTGTAACTAGTGTTCTGATTTGTTAGTCCTTTAGTTGTGTCTAGCTGACTTAGCTAGGTTCTCGTTAGGATCTTTGATCAGTGGCAGACTGCCTTTTGTTTCCTTCAGTTATGTCTGCTGATTTTGGTTGACACGAATAGGTCTCAAGCTACTGTATCCTTTGATTTACCATTGTCGTTTGCTAGAGTCCTATTCTTGTTAGGTTTGGTTTCTTAGTTTTTTGTATAAGTCAATCTTGCGGTGTGCTTCATATATAAAATTTTGTGATATGTTGTAAAGCTTGTTGCCTTCTGTTCAGTACTTTTTCAATAGAGTTATCAATCGTTTGAAAAAAAAAAAAAAGACTTGTGTTAAAATATTATCTTATTAATAAGTATTGTTGAAATTGAAACTATAACTAATTTGTTCATAATAGGTATCATTTAACCAACTCATTTTGTATGGCTTAAAAATCAATGATGTTAAATACTTTTTGCATTTAAGATTGAGATTTTTACATTCGACCCAAAAAAAAAAAAAAAAATGCTTTTTCAAATACTTCCGATCAATCTTTCAAAACTTCAAATCCCCAAAACCAGAATTTCTTCGCCAACACTCCCTTCCCTCACAGTAAATTCAAAAATCTAAATGCGAACCTTAGAAAGGGATCTATGGTTTTGAAGCTGAAAGGTTGCAATCCAGAGTAATTGCGAAGCTGGGATCTGGAAAACAACCCTCTTCCTCCCTTCCTCCTTCCCTCCCTCCCTCTCTCTCTCTCTCTCTCTCTCTCTCTCTCTCA